TTTTCAAATCCACAACTTTTTAAGCAAAAAAAGACCAAAACCATACAAATTCTCAAAATGTAAGACTTTAACTTTGTAGAACACTCATGCTCTGATGTTCTCTAACAAAAATCATTAATAACCAGGAAAAGAAAAAGTTCACTTCGTCTCATCTTCTGAAACGCTTTATGTTAAAGTGACTTAAATGTTAAAATCTAAAATGTTGATAGAAGTCAAATTGATAGGGAATAAAATATAAAGAAATAATGCAAAAAGTATTTTGTTTTCTTAATAGTGACGATCTGCCAAATTTATGTGAACAATAACATATTGATACTACCTTCCCTTAAATCACTTTTCTGGCCATCAAACTCTTTACTGTGTAACAAATACTTGGATATAATTAAGACAATTAGGTTTTTACCCACCCATTCCCTGTTGAGGTGGTTTCCTGAGGACATCCAGCATTATTGTTTATAATTATTTATTTAATTTTATGTATTATTATTAATTCACCAGAGATGGACAGAAAGCAAACAAGCAAGCCGCCAGGTCTGGGACTCGAACCATGGTTAACCATGTGGGATGCAGCGCCTTAACCACACCACATTCTGGTCCCCATTCAGTGCTATTTTAAAAGCTAATCTAGCTCTAGGAGCAGGTGGGCTGTTCTTCCACCCACCTCCTAGCGTACCACTGAGCCACCTCCAGTCAAGCTTGCACCTGTGCAGGGAAGTCTTTTTCACGTCTGCGGTCAAACTAAAGCGAAGAAAACTGTTCAGTTCCCACACAGCGAGTGAGCAGGCAAAATAAATAAATATAAGGAAAGCTGCTCTATTTCCATCATTTGTTTTCAATGCTTCTCTAACCCCACAGGCAAGTTTTAAAGCTTCGTGTGTGTTGCCAACGGAAAAACTTTTGCCAAGCAATGTCCAGGCTGCCATCCCAGCTGGCTTTTCATTTGCCCAAATCGCTCTCTAGCGGTAGAGCGCCTCACTTTATCCAAACTGCGCTCGCCACACCCCCGCGCCACCCCCAGCCCCAGTCAAGGTTCCCCAGCGATGGCGGGGCAGCGCTCGCACTCCACAGAGCTCCCTCCCCAAGCGCACCCCAAAACTCCTGGCGCCAAAGGCTTGTCCAAACCCTCTTGCTCATTCTCGCTTCGGAAAATCATTGCACTTACCCATCATGCGGAGCGGATTCGACCCCTTTTGCACAAGGGAACACAATTTCTCTCTCTCGGACACACCCCCATACCCCTTCCTAACTTCTAATCCCGAGAGCAGCACCCAGACATCCACACTCCGTAGCTCTCTCCACGCCCCCCAGTCCAAAACGCCAGGCAGTGCGCTGGAGATGAGACCTGTCGCCGGGAACACCCCGTTTCTGCTGCCCATTTCCCACCACGCGCGCGCGCCGCCACCACTTCGCGGTAACGGGGGGCTCCTGCACCGGCACACAC